GATATCTTATTTTTAAATTTTATAATTTTATGCTTATCTTTTTTAAAATAATTCCAATTTTTTTGGTAACTAAATTTTGACATTACTACCTTTATTATTATCGAAATTTTAAATTATCCTTATTTAGATAAATAATTTTTTTATTATTTCTAATATAATATTTATATAAATTATTTACTTAGTAATTTCTTTATTTAGAGTTGTCCAAATTTTGATGTTTCCATTTTCCTTAAAATTCTTGACCGGTACGAATCATTGAAACGCATTGTACGTAGAAATTTATAAAAATAAAATGCTAATTTTTTTTAAATAATTTTTTTGGAACAAATTTTTTTGATCAAAATTAAAAAATTGTTGACTGCTAACTTAAATGTCATAAATAATGTGATTAAAAAATTCCCCATGTGAAAATTAAAATCAATTATTGGGGGAAAATTTTTTAGAGCATTTTTTATTGTAATTGATTCGTTATAAAAATTAAAAAAATTGACGTTTGTCAGCTAACATCAGTATCATCAAAATTTCCTCTCATTAGTTAAAAAGCAATTATCTTGAACAAACTTACAATTTATCAGTATCTATTAATGCAGTTTAATTGGTTTTTTAACCTGCGAGTAGAGTTTTTGAACTCGACAACGGTATCGTATACCCTTCTGCGCATGTCATTTAATGTAGAAATGTGTATATAATGTAAAGCAAAATCTTCATAAAGCTCCGTAGTTACGTCTCAGTTTTTCCGTAACTCACTCACGAGAGCAAGAAAGACCATCTATGAAACTTGAGAGAGATTTTACTGAATAACATTTTTCTTGGTGTGTGTAATTTGGGTTCATCGCATCGCATTCCGTCAGTCACTAACACATAGTGTGTTATACAGCCAGACAAAGTGCGTGAATTCCAGAATGTACTCCGGTCAAAGAGCAAAAGATTAAGATCATTTGAAATCATTGAGAGTAATGTTAAATAATTAATATTTGTGATTGATTTTGACAGGAGGACATTCAATTGTTTAATTTTTATTTTAACAAATACTGCTCTCAAAATATAAAATAAAAAGTATTGTTTTCGTTCAAAAAAATAATAAAAAAAACATCGAAAATGACGTCAAGAATTCATTACTAAACAGAAACGTCAAAAACAACAAAGATTAAGAATATTTTCAAGGTAGACGTCTTTTTTTTTATTTTTTGTATTGAAAATAGTTTTTTATTTACATATATGAATTGATTATCAAGTACGCATTGCATGTGAATGTAAATCTTATTATTATTATTTATGAATTTATCGTACTGATTATCTGTTGAATTATAAAAATTAATTTATCAATATAATTGCGTAATTATCATGTACGATGATATTCTAACCCTTGTTTTATCTTAATTTATTGTTCAATGAAGGTTATGATGATAAGAATATTTTTTTATGTTTAATATAATAAGTTTATTATTTAGTTATTAATTATTAATTATAAAATATTTGTTGACAGAGACTTAAAAAATTGATAATTTCTATTATTAATTTTCAGATAATCGACCATCAGTAATAAGTGACAACTGTTAATTTGTATTTAATTTTTTTTTTTTTAAAACGATAAGCTGACAGCTAAAACAGTAGCAATAAAATTAGTAATAAATAAATTATGATTAGTCAATTAAACTGTGAACCAAAGTTGAACTATTTTAGAAAATTTTCGATTCTCAGTAATGGCTGGAAACACCAAGAACAATGCTATTAATAACACTGGTTTTGATAGTGACAATAACAAGAGTTCAATAACTAAAACGGTTAGTATAAGTCATGAAAATTTATTTTTTGATTCTTTTTTTTAGACTGAAGAATTTTTTTATATCTATTTAGTAGAAGAATTATATTTATTATAGTTTTTTTTTTTTTTTTTTTTTTTTCAAAATCAACAAAATTTGAGTTTTTAACTCAACTTATTTATTTTTTTTATGATACTAAATTTAGCAGATATCTAACAATTTTTTAGATTTTTATAACAATTAAATTATACTGAAAAAAATTTAGCAAAAAAATTTTACATCTAGAAATTAAAAAAAATTATGAATACGAATTTTAAAAAATATTTTTTCATATAATAAAATTGATTTGCTATAAAAATTTCAAGAATTGTTAGAGGTCAGCTAATTTAGGATACAATGTCTGCAAATAGGATTTATTGGAGAATTAAATATTAACACTTACTCAAACTCTAAAAAAAAAAAGTTTTAAGTTTATTTTTTTTAATCCGCTGACTAATGATTCTTTATGAAATAATTTTTTATGCAGGATAAAAAAAATATCTTAATGTCAACAGCATTAAATCAACAGAAAATCTATAAACATGATAAATATACTTAACCCCTGACAAGCACACTGGGTAAAAAGTACCCACCCCAAAATTTTATTTCGTTATAATTTTTTGTACATATTTAAACTTCAATTGTATATTTATCTATTTTAATTGGCACTAATTAATTTAATATTATATCTAATTTATAGAGAATTTTTTGAGCTTTAATTTAAAAAAAAAAAAATTCTCTAACTTTATTAGAAACCAAGATATTTGAAAATGAAATATGTTAAGAGGTATACGATTTAGATGTGTGCTTGTCAGGGGTTAAAGAATCTATAAATATCTTATAAGCTTAAATATTAAATTATACTGCATAAAATTTTTTTCACAAAATAAAAGACATAACAATTTTTAAATGAATCAAATTCCTACTCGGAAAATTTTCCTATTTAAAAATAGTCTTAAGAATGAAAATTTTCTATTCAATTCCGTTAATTTACTGTGTATAACAATAAAAATTATTTTTTTTTGTACCAATACTTAGTCATATATCATACTAGTTAAGTTTGTTAATTTATATGATACTGAAATTAGCAGACATTCAACAATTCTTAAAATTTTTATACTAAATCAATTAGAAATAAAATTCGCACTTATAATTTTTTTTAAATTTCTACATGTGAAATTTTTTGGCTTAATTTTTTTCACAAAAAAATACCTACAATTACAAATTGAAGGATGAAAAAAATAATTGAATAATTTTTATTCTTTATTTTTAATCGAATTCACACTTGTATATATATACTGAAAATTTTTTTCCTCACTAGAACGCTAAAGAGAAAGATTTTTCAAACCTATCGAATTCTGAACGAGTTTTAACGAGCTTGGTAGCTGGTGCTGCGGCAGGTGCAATAGCAAAGACAACAATTGCACCATTGGACCGGACAAAAATAAATTTTCAAATATCGAAAATGCAATATTCTCAGCGAGCTGCAATTGATTTTTTAGTGAGAGCTTATAAACATGAAGGCTTGTTGAGTTTGTGGCGCGGTAATAGTGCAACTATGATAAGAATTGTGCCTTATTCTGCAATACAGTTTGCTGCTCATGAACAATGGAAACGCATATTAAATGTCAATGGCAAAAATTCGTAAGTATTTTTATTAATCAGATATGACAATTATTTTGTTCTCTGCTTCATCAAAAAAATTTATATTTTCATCATTCAATTTTTTAAATAATTAATTAACGAAAAATTGATGTTAAAAAATCATGAAATGTATTAATTAAAAAAAAAATTTACTAATTTTTTTGAGAAGTTGAAAATTATTTCTAAATTTCTCAAAAAAATTAGTAATTTATAGCTATATCATTGACAAATTATTATTTCTGTAATGTATTGAAGTATTAAAATAACAAAATGTTATGAAGGATATATTATACATTATAATAAAATATAAAAATAATTTCAGATCGTCAGTTTATAGATTACTAGCTGGTTCATTAGCTGGTGTAACATCTCAAAGTTTAACTTATCCATTGGATTTAGCACGCGCAAGAATGGCAGTAACACAAAAAGCTGAATACAAAACATTGCGCGAAGTTTTTGTACAAATTTATAAAAACGAAGGATTTTTGGCATTTTATAGAGGATTTACTGCGACAATATTAGGTGTGATTCCATATGCAGGCTGTAGTTTTTATACTTATGATACTCTCAAAATGTTTATGGCAGGTAAATTAAATGTCAAATTATTATTTTCACAATTTCTTATTCTTTCTTTTTACATTGAATTATTAACATAAAAATGAGAAACAAAATTTTTAAAGTTTTTCTTTAGACGTATAATTTTTTCAATAAAAATTTATAATATTAAATTTGAAAATCATAAATAAATAAAAAAAAAATTTGTTTTTATATTATTGGTAAAATTCATCAGTCAATTTTTATTTTTATCGGTATTTTTTGATATAATTTACAAATAAATTATAATAGATGCATAAAATATTGAAATAATGTTTCTTACTAATCAATTAATTAAGAATAAATAAAAAAGAAAAAGAAAAGCTTTAAAATGTTTTAGAAACATTTGCGCTATTAATACTAATATTAATGAAGGAGAGAAATGACGGACATGTAAAAGTGTTAAATGATCCGTCCGCCTGTTGATAAACAGTTGATAAAATTCAAATGAATCCGGGATTCGCAACTTTGGCCACATTGAGTTGTGGAGCAATAGCTGGTATTGTTGGACAAACGGCCAGCTATCCATTGGACATTGTGAGAAGACGGATGCAGACATCAGCCATCAAAGGAGCTTTTTATCATACTACCATTTCGACTACTGTTAAAATTTATAGGTAAGGATTTAATTAAAGCACTGAGTTTATTTGTGTTTACGATTTTTTTTTCTTCACTCATTACATTATATTGGGAACATTAAATCCAGAATAACTTGTTAAGGGGGATAGCCACTGACGGTCGAAAAAATAGGTGATTTTCAGGATTTTTTTTAATTGGGAAAATAAAGAAATTTGGAGACCAGGTTTTTTGTTCTATTAAATGTACACTGAAGGTAAAGATTCTCAATTTTCAATGAGAAATATCAAATCGTTACAAAGTTATTAACATTCTTGACCAGCCCCAAAAAAAATTCTCCTTCCATGATCGTATTGATATCTCGAAAACGGGATATCCAAAAAAAAAAAAAATATTAGGTAATACGTTATAATCTGTATGAATGTAGTTATCATTGCACCTAGCCAATTTTTTTTGTTTTGATTAGAAAAAAAAACGGCGACCGATTGAAAATTTTTTCATCTACTTGGCCTTTCTTTTTAGATTTAAACAGTCATCAAAAATCTTACAAATTAAAATCGGCTACGTGAAACCTTAGCTTCTGTAAAGGCGAACAAAAATAAAAAAAAAAAATTTGAAAATTGGTTAATATTTGATTGAGTTATCGATTCGATCAGTTTGAAAAAAGGCGTTTAAAGTTTTTAGTTTATTTTACTTTATGTTAATCTAAAATCATGTATCTCATAAAACAATTATATTTAAGGTAGTTGTCATGGTACATATGTAGCTAATTAATCCATAATTTTTACGCAATACTGTAACCGTGGAGACGCAACCCATACAATTGTTTCTATCCGACTCAAAAATTTTTTTTTATTTTCTCTTAGACTCACAACAAATACATTAAATGACTGTCAGTTTTTTGAAAGTTTCTGACAGTTTTTTTTACAACTCAGAAACTGATACAGAACTGCAGAGAGCGTATGCAATCAATGTTAAATATCCTATTTTTAATTGCATTTATCTCGGGTTATAGGTGGTCAATCGACTTCAAATTTTAACGGTAATTATATCATCATGTCTTTAATGAGTATACAAAAATTTAGAATTTTCTGACGGTATGCCTAAACCACTACAACTACCTTAAATTAAACTATCGAGTCCTGGGTAATATTATATTCGTTTTTTAGCGGATTCGACATTTTCGTTGGAGCGCTCAGCAAAAACGATCGGTCTACCTGCTCTCACTAAAGTGATTATAGCTCCGAAAATATTTGAAATTTTGATCTCAAACTTTATCAACATATTTTTAAATACATAAACTTTGATTTAAGGAAAAGAAATATTTTTTTTTACGATTCGTCACAGTGGTTATCCCCCTTAAATTTCCAATCTATGTATTTTTTTCGGTATTTTTTATTTATATCAAACGACTTGTTGTTTTTAAGTATTTTTCAAGTATAAATTATCAACTTTTAGTTCATTTAACTTTCAATATTCGAAAATTTTAAAAGTACTTTTCATGAAAAATATTTTTTTAAAACTCTTACTTGAAAGAGATTTAAAAAATAATGGTTTAATTTTATTAATGAAAAATTAATAAAACAAATTGAGATGAAAAAAAGTATTTTTTTTTAACAACTATTTTTTAAGTACAGTGCGCGTCATTGATTCGTACCGGTTGAAAAATTTTAAGGTAAAATAGATAAATCAAAATTTCGACATCTGTAAATAAAGAAATCAATAAAAGGAAAATCTTTATAAGGATCAATTTGGACAAAATTGAAAAAATAATTTACTAAAAAGAAATAACTCAAAATATCAATCACGATTAAAATAGAAATGAAAAATATTAGTAATTAAAATAATCACACACTTTATAAAATAAATAAAAGTAAAATTTTAATATTAAAAAAAAAGACAACGATATAATTCGATAATTTTTAAATTTATCAATTACAAATATAGGCATTGGATAAAATAAAATAGACTAAATTCAGAGAAGTCAGTAAAAAGACATTTGAATATTTATATTAATAAAAATATTGATAGTTATTAATATATAAATTCTTAAAAAATAGACATCTCTAAATATAGACTAGAAAATTTAGATAACGGTGATTTTAGACATCTGTAAATTTTGATTTATATTAATTTATAAATTCAAATAAAAATACAATTAAAAATATAATTGCTTTCAATTTACGAGCTAATAAAA